GGCCTCTTGCAGCCACACAGGACGGGCGCAGAAAGCAAAGCAGGGCTATATAAAATAGGTACGCAGTAGGCTATATTCATATAGCTACATATCAGTTAGAGGGATTTAGGTGAAATACCGAAGGTAGTTAGCAGGCAGTCGCTTTGTGCTTCAGCGCCTTGGAGAAATACATTTCATTCCCTTAAAACTGCTATGCCCTCAAACCAGCTCTTGTTCCTCGAACCCCTTTAGACTAGTCCAGGTTAGTTTCTACCTTCCCTTAAGCACAATCTGTTGATAGAGAACGAGTAACATTGTTATAGATTACTTTAGTCCGATTGTTTTTTTTTGATTAATCACCTAATTAATAGTTTTGTTAAGCTATTCACTTGAGAAGTAGTTCACGTTGGTCAGGTGCTTCCCTGCAGATGTCTGTTTCATCTATGGCATTAATCCACCCACTCCTTTCCTGTGAGCTCAGATTTCCACATCCCTCCAAATGTAAATAGGGAAAGAGAAGCCATGCTTTCTCCAAATTAGACAAGCAAGTACTATGAAGGTATTTACACTGAAATTAACTGCAATAATCTGAAAATACCAAAGATAACTCTTTATAAACTCTGACATGCTCTACAGATAAAACTCAACTTTCCTAGACACATGCATGAAGATTTGAACCTCAGGTCTGTGACTTGTACTTGTTCCCAGTCTTTGGTCATTTCTCCAGATCTGAACACGGAAATCTATATATCTAGCTTACAGAACATGGCTCAACACAGCATACTCTTGTGCAAATATTAAAATATGAGTCAAAGAGATCAGGCAAAACTCAGGACATCACTTGTCTAGGATTTGAACAGACCTACGATAACAAAATAGGATTAATATACATGACACCCTTGGTGTGAAATACAGCTACCACCAGAAAATGTATCATTTAAGGACAATATACTTTATATGGAAAGACATAAATGCTTTCCCAAGACATAAAGTAATTACCCTAGTTAAATACTTCATGAGGAAATTTAAACACTGACAAAGAGAAAAGTCAATATTAAGATTTCAGCTTTATTTTGATCTAACAGGAAAGGTAAAAAAAATTCATTCTAATTTACATATTACTTTACTGGGCACATGCTCTCCCTGAAAAACCTAAGAATATATTTGGCAGTTTATGGGGACAGAAATTTCATGGCTGTTTTTAAAGAAAACTTGAGGGCATAGTAACCAGATTAGGAAGTACAGGCTATAAGGACGTAACTTGCATGCAAATAAATACCTTAATTCACAACTCTTTTCTCTGTTTTGGAACAGCTGTGATAAGTAACTATACTCAAGTCTCCTGGTAAAAGATTACTTTAATCTACTTTGTATGTATAAACAAAGATATTTACTTCTTCCTCCCACGAAAAATATCTCCAAACTCTTTGATGGTTTACTTGCATGGAAAAGTTAAGTTACTGGAGGAAGACTAGAGACCAGCATAAGCTGGTAATTTCTTGTGCATGATAGAGAGTTTATGTTACTGAATACGTATACAATACATGGCAACAAAATAGAGACAAAATGTCTTTACATTTATTTGTAGGATGAGATTTTAAGCACTAGGAAGCATGTGGATAGAATAACGTCTAGGTTTTGCTCATTTCAAGGAATATACACAAGTTGGTGCTTGTGTGCATGAAACAGAAGTAGACAGAAGTCGCTTCTTTTTTTGTCTTCTTTAGCTCATTGTAACAAATACACTATGTTTATTAAAATGGAAAAGGGAAAACAGTTTGATGAACTTGTAACATTGTTCTTTCACTTGCAATACAAATTATATTGCTAGTTTCTGTAATTTCACTCCAGTTTTTGTATTTATAGGGGCAGCTTACACTGAAATCATTGTTTCATAACTATTACTTCTCTTCATTATTGAAAGATTTGCCAATAAGCTCATGCAGAGGTAGAGTTATGATTCTATCACTACTCCCTGATATGACCAGCATGCCCTTTTAACATTTTCTTGGCTCCTGCGGTTCTCATTTCTTGTTTTCATATTTGTAAAACAGCTATAAAGTAGATTTTACATCTTACCTTTCTCCCCTGCTTTATGTTAAGTAAAGAAAAAGAAAAAAAGTATTTTCCAAATAATTTTAATCCTCAAGGGAGAGATCATACAATGGATTTTATTTCAACAGTATAAAAAAGTTTTCTAAATGTTAAAAATTTGGTAGTAGCAAAAGTAACTCAATTTGTCACATTTACATTCTACAATTTGTAGATACCTTTAGATTAGCAGGAATACAGGCCACACAATCAATAATTGCAGCAGGAGATAAAACTTGCTCAGAATTTCCTTCCGAGTATTTGTTCTTCCAGAGATTCAGTGCAGACACCTGAACGTCTATTTTACAGTTCATTTTATAAGGGCTAACGGTTCTTTTATTATCTTAGTCAATCAGTGAAGACGTTCTAATTTAGCCTGTAGT